CAGACGATTTTACTTGTCAAGAGGAGAGCGCTGGCGCTTAATGGGTTAAACAATAAACCCTTTGTATTAGATAAGAATATTATATTATAAATAATATTAAATTAATTATATTAATGAATTATATTATAAATGAATTATATTATAAATAATAAGTCATAAAATTAATACTGATCTATCTTTTTAATTTAACATAGACAGATTTTCATATTTTTACTGGGGCAGTGCCAGAAATTTTAGGGGGGGGTGGGGGGGGGGTGAGCTGTGAGCAGGTGACTGAAGCAACACAAAGTGTCGCCATACCCCAGTAAGGTAATCTATATTCTAGAGGTGGAGCACTAGAGATGTGAGGAGGAGTCTAGAGACCAGAAAACAAAGTATCCCTGGAAAAATTTTAAAAAATCATGATTCCTAGCTTTGAAAAGAGTTTTTTGAAGTGGTCATATCAATAGATTTGGCATGTCCGATTGTCTGATGAGACTTGGGAGAGTTGATTAAAAGTTAAATGAACCTGTAAAAGTGTAAACCTAATAGGCCAATACACAATATGCTTTTACCAGTTTTATAAAGTCATTGACATTGTGTCGTTTGAATCCGAATACATTTTATGATGCAACTCCGATGTAAATAATAATTGGGGCATAAAGATTAAATCTAGGCAAGTCTATTTTCTAAAAGAATTAAAAACTAAAGATAATGTTTGTAAAAAATCCAAATGTTCCTTCCGAGCAAGCTAAGTATTTGCATGAGAAGGCACTGCAAACTCTATTCAGGGGAGATAATATAGTTTCAAAACTTTACAATTGCTCCAATAAACCAGTGAATGCACTGTCTTTTTCTATTTGAGTGTACTCCTACGTTTATTTTATATCATCAACACTCTGCATGTTGGAGTGGACTATTTAATTATTTTTTATTATGCCGAATGTTGGAGGTGGGGGTGTTGAAATAGTTTTTTGGAGGGGTGGTCATTTTGTTTGGGGGAGGAGTTATAGCTAATATTGGGGGGAGGGGTAGCGCCCCCCCCCCCCACACACAAAATCCGTCTATGCTTTTTAATCTTAAGAGTTAACTTAGGTAACTGAGGAGTGACTCAGATTAGCAAGCAAGTCTCCAGGTCTATTGTTCTTGCAATTTTGTATATATATAATAGCTATTTCAATTAAGGTTGTCCCCCAAGCAAAGCAGAAAAGTCGAATACAAGCGCGAAAGGCTGCTGAAAATCGCTAATAAATTCATTTATATTTCTGTATACACTACATATAATACTTAGTTTTACTGTAGAGTGATGATTACATTCTCAATACATAAGTAAACTTTTCCTTTTACAGATTACTAGCTGAAAAAAGGATGTATATATGATGGATCTCCAGTGGCATTTGCATGATGTGTTTGGAACAGTGTTTAATGTGCATTATAAAGAAATCTATGGACTTTGAACAAACGGTTGGTCAGATAATATTGCTTGTCATGTGGAAAAAGTTGAAAAATTACTGCATCAGGTCTTCAGGAGAACTTAAATTTGTGCAACCAGAACTACACCTAGTTGTATAACAGTGGCTGAAAAAAGAACTTGTATAAATTGACTATAGTTTGATGTTTTGTATGTTACTCTGAGTGTATATCCACACCGGGCAGGCTGAAAAGTTAGCCTGACCATGGTGAGAATCGAACCCGCAACTAGTCTAATGCTTTGCTAACTGCATATACACTCAGAGTATCATCAAAAACAATATTCACCTGAGTAACTGTACATATATAAACACCCAAACAACACATTCTTAATAAGAAAATTCTTTTTAAGAAAAATTTCTTGATTTGAGAAATTATTTTCTTAAAATAAGAAATTATTTTCTTATTTTAAGAAAATTTTCTTATTTCAAGAATTTTTTTTCTTGGGAGAATAACAAAAAAATTTTCTTAATAGGAAAATTCTTTTTAAGGTGGCTCGATAGGAAAAAAATATTTAAAAATTGAATTTTTTGAAAACAATATTTTTTGTAAGTTTAAGCACTAATCTTTCATATACAATTGGTTTTTTAAATAATATCAGGGTATTTTCAGTTGTTTGGGGGTTTTTATAAAATGCACCATCATATTTTGCACTCGTAACCATGGAAACCGCATCTTTGTTTTTCAAAATAACCCTATGAAACGGCTTTGTATACTGGTTTTTATTGTTGTTTTGTAAAAAGTGCGCATCTTTACAAAGAGGACTGGTAAGTAGATACAATTACATTGCCTGGTTACCAAGTCAAAATTCAAATTGAAAGAGAAAGCTAGAAAACAAATTTGTTAGAATTGTATTTTTCGTTAGAAATGCCTGATAAAAGAAATTTATTCGATTGAAAGAAAAGAAACGAAAGTTTCGCTGAAACCGTCATGTCAAAGTCGAAGAATTACCTGATTCTGAAGCTTCTAAAGAGGAGAAAATTGCTGAAACAAGTACGTCAAATTTGACTACTGCTTCAGATGAAGTGACATCATCGAGCGCTTCAGAATTTAGGTCATTGCCTGCCTCAAAAAGGATACTTGACTGTGATTTATCAAGTGTGGATGAAGAAAACTGTACTGATGGGTTTAGAATTATAGATATATCGATTTTGATGTCCATTTTCAACACCTTTATATGCCCTAAATGTAAGTCGGGTCACATTGTTATGAAGGAAGACATAACTGCAAAGATGGGACTTGTGACACAACTTTCGCTGGAATGTTCTGCCAAAATGTGTTCATATTCTATGGATTTTTATACATCAAGTCGGGTGAATAATAAATCTAAAGCTTTTGAAGGAAATAGAA